GGCAACTCCAAGTTTTTATTCTGTTTTCCAAATTTGTGTAGGGCTTACAGTAATATATAATTGTGTATTGCATATTTATGATAAGGAATTTGGATACTGCTTCATTTATTTGAAAATGTTATTAGTATCCATATTGCAAGTACTGTGATGGATTAAACGAGCTGTGTAATTATCTACTATGATTCATTTATAAATTATTCCTTTTTTTTTTTTTTTAGGTGGGTTGTCTATTCCAAGGATTTCAACTGTGACTCTTTGGTTTAGTCATTGTTTTTTTGTTTTTGTTAAACACAATGCTATACCTTAGTCCTTCTGGTAAATTTCCCCCCTCCCCACATTACGTCAAATTTCATTATTACCAGTGTTTCCCTGGCAAAAGCCCAAAATATGATTTTATTACTTTTATTTTCAGAAAAAGGTTTGCATTGAATTTTTTGATTGGCCCCGCCTACAATAGGGTATTCTATCAGAATTTTTTCTGTATAAAATGGTTCTCATGGTATAAGTCTACTGCCCAACAGTCGACCCAATCTTGTGTTGACAGGAGTGGGCTTACATTATTAATTGTTTGCTTACAGTATTTTGGTGCCGGTGAACATCATTTTTGTCAGACCAGGCAGCTTAGTATTGAAACATTTAATTGTTAGGCCCAGTAAAAAAATTATTAGTTTATCTATCACCCTCACGCGCATGCCTTTTATGGTACTGCAAAAAAAAAATATTTTAGAAATTTTTGGAAAAAAATTATATTTTTCATTTTTTTAATTAAATAATTAGTAGATATGGTTTGTATTATCTCAATCATGTTTTACTAGATTTTTTACACTCAAGCATAAACAAAATAATGGAATCTCCCACCATACACAGCCTGCGTATTATTCGTATTCAGGCACAGGGCGAAAAATAATGGAATCACACATCATACGCAGGGTAGCGGAATGTGTTGTATGAAGTGACTGCTTTATTTTTAATGTTATTATAGATTGCACTTGTACTTTGTGTTGTTGCCAAGTAAATATTAATTGAATTAAATTGTTTACATATTTTATATATTATTTTAGTATAGCTCAAATTTGATCATTTTCCAAGACCTATGATACCGTAAGAATGGGTTTTTTTTTGCATATCTTATGTTTATTAAAATTGAATGTCCAAAGATATGCATCATACTCTTATCTGTTTTTTTTTTGTTTTGTTTTTTTTGGTAAAAATGCTAATGTCTTGTTTTGTAATAATACTAATAGACACATTTTGAAAGCATCATTATAAAGTGATATTTTTAGCTCCTCTTAATGGCCTCTTCAGCATTATTAGTCTAGCGGCGATTTATAGTTCAGCAGTAGCAAAACAACGCTTACAAAATTCTACTCATTGCTGTCTCTTGAGTCTGGCTTTAGACACAAATGTTGCTTTATGTGTCCACTGGGACAACAATTCAATGAAACTTCTGATTCACATGGAAAGTTAGTTTCCTCCATGGCAAACTGGAAACCAATGGAGCTTGCAAAATGAAAAATTGTTCAGCCCAAGGGAGCTGCATTGGTCTTTATCTTTGATTTTATGTATCCGCTTTTTAGCCTATTATTAGCCTCGCAAGTCGATTCCAAACCAGACATGGTTTAGTTGCTTAGCAACAAGGTAGATATTAACTTTAACATGTTTTCCTGTGTATTTGTTTGTGTACATTTTGCTGATTTCAGCCAAAATGATGTCTGGCTAGCCAAGACTAATTTAGTCATAGAGGTCATAGGTTGAGAAACCTTACTGTTTGACTTTAAATGTACATTATTACTTTCGATATCCCCCCCCTCCCCTCTGAAAGTGTACATAAAAAATGTTTTTGTGATGTAAAATAAAGTCTTGTACTTAGTTGCATAAAAATGTCTAATTATCCATCGTTGCATTATAATTGGTCATAAAAATCTATGACTTTAAATATTGCAGGTTATTATGAATCAACATTTTCATTTATGTATTAAAGTGTACACATTTGCCTACCACTCCTCTATTGTACTGTTTGTACACTTATGAAAATGTTGATAATTGTGAATGACCCTGTATAGTAGTGATAATGTCAAAGAGCATGGAATCACAGTTGATTATAATAATCTTAAGAAATATTGTAGGCCTATGATGATAACATGATGATGTAGGCCCTATGTATGATGTAGGCCTATGATGATAACATGATGATGTAGGCCCTATGTATGATGTAGGCCTATGATGATAACATGATGATGTAGGCCCTATGTATGATGTAGGCCTATGATGATAACAAAAATTTATTCTGTTTTTCGTTTGTCTTGCTCCCAGGGGGGTCCCATGTTTTCTGCAAATTGGGAGAGTCTCCCGGAAATCAGAACGGTCTCTCACATTCCCGCAAGCATCTCCCGGAAAATATCCCATCTTCCGCAAATAGATGTTTTTACTATTTTATTGTGACCTGGAAAACAGTGTTGATGGGGGTATTAATCATGCACAGCAAAATAAAGTTTGAAGTGTTGGGCTATGTTCATACCTGAGAGATACGCCATGCGTATCTAACGCCGGGTGTATGTTAATTTATGGCAAACTAACGAAATGTCCAGACTGTGCGATTGACAAACGCTATCATAAGTATTTATGCAAAATAGTGATTGGTCAAATATTTGCCGAGTTCAAAATCATTGACGCATGACTGTCATAACTCAGTGGCATACGCTAATCCAGGGTCTGTTTTTGGATTATCATATGCCAGTGATTGCGCATTACTACTGCGTTAATACTGCGCACAAGTTCACACCAATCGAGTAACGTTATGCTTACGTAACTCGTGTCTGAACATGGCCTCGAGAACTCGTTTACCAGTAAACACGGAAATGACTTCTTCCAACTTGGGACCCTGTGCTCTTTGAAACCGTGCTAAACCTGACCTCACTGTTCCGTAATCAGTCTGATGGTATAAACAAGATTATATAATTTTTTACTAAAACAATCTCAATTTTGGGCATTTTTTCTTTTGATGTTTGTATCATTTTAGTATATGATAATATATCACAATTGTGAATTCAGTAAAATTTAGGTACTGGCTATTTTTGCATATTATTATTAATATATTATTTTATAAAAATGAATAATAATAGAAAAAAAAATAAACTGAACATTGATGATAATGATAATTTATTTATTTATTTATTTATTTATTTCAACAATATTTTACGAGGGTGGTCCATCCAGCATCATCATAATGATGGTGTTCACTGAAAACAGAAGGTTCCTACCATAAATTTAAATGTTCATTTCATTTCCATATGTTTAATTAGACAACATATATTTTATAATCATCTTTTTAAGAAAGTGTTTTTGAAATAAAGATATATATGATTTTTGTAAAAATCTGAAAAAAATGCTCAAGAATTCCATAAATATATTAAAAGAAAATCATATACCAGTAAGTTAACTTCTGGTGGTACATGGGTAACATGGTATATAAAAAAGTAGGTTTTTTTGCTTATTTACAACAAATGATGTAGAGGGAATTCTTTTTTTCAAATAATTTGATTGATTTTCTTTTTTGAAAATTGTTTAGAAATATATAAGATATTAAGATAATCAAAACAGAATTGCATAAAAAAGCAAAAAATCACAAAATATAATTAAAGTTTTTGAACAGATAGTTAATGATAACTTTGCATATGATTTAGGTGAGACTTTTTACCATGTTTAACAAAGTTTATTTTCTAAATATTGCTGGAGAAAAGTGGAAAAAATGTCTTTTTTTATTTTCAATTTTTTTTTCCAAAAATGAACATGGAATCCCATGCTCAGGTTAACTCCAAAGCACATAATAAATAAATCTTTTGTTTTCTTATTTAGAAAAATGGTTTGCTAAATAAAAATTAATTGAAAAATATAAAAATGCAAGTGAGTGCTATGAATAATAGAGGACTCCTTTGGTTTTTGTTTTTTAAAAATGTTCATTTTATGTTACAGACACACAGGCCAAAAATGTTATTTAGTTTTTATTTGAAATAATTGTCGATGGGCATTGTGCTTGCAGAGACAAAATCCTTTTTTCCTATTGTTTTTGTTTATCATATATTTATATATATATATTGAAATAATTAATTGAAATGAAATGAAAATTAAAATAACTCCATCTTAAACTATAAATAACATTGATAATAACCGTTTCTTTTTTTTTTTTTCATGTTTATGTTCAGCACATAGGGGCCTCCATATTATGTGCTTTATAAAGTCAACCATTATTGTTTTATTATTTTGGTATAAAATATACAAAATTATCATTTGGAAGCTACATCACCAATTGTTTTTTGTCACATAAAAAAAAAAGTTTCTGTCAACAAAAATGATTTTTCACTATAATAAATGTATATAACCATGAAGATGTAATATTTTTTTATAATATAGTTCCATGGTGTACTTTCCCTACTAACAATGGTTCCATATTACCATGGATGGTAGAGTAATAAAAAAATGATATTATACTCAAATTCAATTAAACTCCTACAAAATACTGGTATGTACTGTACTGTAGAGCTTTTAAAACCTGTTGACCTTGGTGTACTGTTGACCCAGTCGCTGTTGTGTTACATAAAGATCAATTTCATATGTGATTGAAAATTGTATTGTAATTCAAATGATGCGCTATGGTTTATGCAAATTATGCTATCATTCAATACACCAAACCTTTACATATTGGAGTTGTGTTGGAATTTAATTTATGTATATAAAATGAGCACCATTTTATTTGGTTAACTCCACTTAATAAACCCTCATTTATATGCAATTAATATTGAGGCTTAAATCTAGCTCTTCATCTTTAGCGTTTGTCCGATTCTATAATGCTGAACTGCCTTCATGTGTTAAAACAGTGATCATTGTTCTGTTGCAGTTGAAATTGCATTGTCTTTGGCCAGGAAGTGTATTTATCCCACCAGTGAACTCTAGAACCAAGGTCAGGGCATTTGGTTTATGCATCGTTGCTAAAATCCAAGTTCCGTTCTTATTTAGCTTTGTCTAACATTGCTTCTTTTTTTTTTTGCAAAATTTTAAAAAAAAAGCTCACAAACTGAACCAATTATTTCATCAGCTCCCCATTATATTCAAATGGTTGTGTGAGATTTACAAAACAGTTTAGTCTTCACAGGCAGACGTCTCGCTTGTCCTTCCTGTTAGAATTCCATGAAAAGGTCAACCGCTGTGTAATATGATAGCTTAATCAAGAGCTGGGTTGTGTTTGATCACATTGGCTACCGCTTGCTCTTTTCCACGTATTTGGCATCTGTTCTGACTGTTCAATAGGCTTGTATGACAAGCTTCTCGGAAGGATCGTTTCACAGAACTCAAAGGAATGTAACATTTTCAAGCACTACTGCAAAGGTAACAAATGTTGATGTTTATTTGTTTAGTTGGTCCTTGAATCCTGAGGAATTAAGTTCTCTGGATGTTTAGTCTCTGATTCTGAATTTAATGCTTTGTATTTTTGGATGTTATTGTTATTTTTTGAGACTCTTCGTTCATTATAGTACATGTGTGTTGAAGGTTAGCAGGTGATGGCCTATATAGGGTAGCATTTTAAAAATTCACTTATAAAGTCAACTTTAGAATTATATTTTTTTTCAATGGATATTTATATTTCTATTGGAAAACAATCTAGCTTTAGATTTAGTTGTGTAATTTTAATTCTAGTGGAATATAGCCTATTTGTTTTAGCATATTTTTTCGTGGGTACAGGCAGCCCAGTCAGACATCAATAACTTAACTAACCTAGTCTTTAGTGAAGTTTAAGAGATCTGTTTCTATCTGTAAAAGGAATTTAAATTAAAAAAAGAATGCTGACCAGTTTTAGGATAGTATCGATCAAGATTTATGCTATTACTACTGTATAATTTTTCGGCAGAGTGGTATGTACATGTTTTTCTTAAACATATTGTTAACAAATTTATGTACATAGTAAAATATGGTAGAGTACTGGTACATTGGTTTAATTGACTCATTATTTTATTGCTGTTTTGTTAGCGTTATTATTATGCATAAAAAATTAAGTTACTGGGAGTAATATGTTTCATGACGTAACTTTGCATAGAGTATCAACAGATGCTGTATTTCCCATTCGTTATTATTCACTTAAATAGTATGCAAACAATTATCTATTAATAGATTTATTATACAGTATATGAGTATTTAATTAGCTTTGCCATTAATAAATTTATTAATTGCTTTTTATAGCATACCTATGAAGGATTGAATATTCCAATCCGTGGATGTGGGTCTTAGGATTTTATTTGTTTAGATATATTTGATTATGTAGGGCCTTAAAATTCATTTGTAAATTTAGAGGCTCCAAATATCTCTGTAACTCAGTTGGTAGAACAACAGAATTGTAGTCGAGTCAATTTAAATGGGCGAGCAGTTAAGGCGCAACATACAGCCATAATATTGGCGCTGGTTTGAATGGTATTCTAGGGTTCTGGTAGTGGAAAAAGTCTTCTCGTATAAGTACTATAAACCGTAGGCCCAGTGTACACAATTTGGCTCATGTGCACTTTAAAGAACCCAGTACATCTTCTGAGACAAGTAGGGGGTTACCCCAGTGTACTGGTTCATACATCCCCCCTGTTGTGGACAGACGAGAGATAGCTGGTACTGGTTTACCGGGCAGCTCAGTCATGAAGAGACAGACCCTTGGGGAGAAGAAAGTTATTGATCCCCACTTGAGCGCTTTGAGAATGGTATAAAGTGCTAAATCAAACTACATTACATTACATTGTTGATAGGACTTGGTTCTAATCCTGATGGTATAATTTTTTTCTAAACATTATGTTAATATCCAGATATTTAAAAAACTTTAAATTTTGCTTATTTTAGTGTGTGTAGAATAAAGTGATTTTGTTTGTAAATATCTCGCTCATTATTTCTATTTACATTTTAATGGCAACATCTTGTCTTGTACAAAAAACATTCCTGAAAAGGCTGGATGTTTAAAGGAAGTTTTAAAAACAAATATATGTAGCCCATGTTATTTTATTGTTTTATAATAAAGACTGTTGATACTACTATTCACAATACAAAACAGACGATAGATTAGAGAAGTGCACTGCTAACCATGTAGTTAGGCAGTGATCAGTATTTCATTTCATTTTATGTTTGTCTTATTCAAAATAGCAAAGTTAATGACACAAACAAAATGAGACAGGGTTCTCAACAGTGAACTGAGTCAAATTATAGAATGGTTTGAGGAATGGTAACTCTATTTACATTGTCAAATTCTGTGCAATTTTTTTATTACCAATAATCTGTTAATTGTGTAATATTCTTTATTCTTATATCCATATATTGAAAATAAAACTCCTCCAATTTGTACAAGACCAAACTTGTTTTTATATTCCCTTTTGTTAATGTAAAGTGTATAGAAGTACAGTCATTGCAAATATGATAAATAGCACATTCTTATTCTATAAATTAATCAATTCATTAAGGTCATGGTAATTAGCAATCACTATTTAGTGTCAAAAACAACTTCACAGAAAAAACTTTTTAACTAAAAGTACTTTAGAGAGCCATAAGCAAGTCAACAAAAATAGCCATTCTAAACAAGAGGCTAAAAATTGATGTTTTGACTCACAAATTTTCATAGTATATTTTCTACAAATTCTATGAATCAGCTTTAATCATGAAAATCAATGTTCATAGAAATTTGGGGGCAGTTGGCATGTACAACTGTATCATTGGCTATACTTTAGGTTTAGCCAGCTAGAGGCTAGCCCTAGGCAAGCCTAGACATTTCACTGGTTGCATGCCAAATCCAGTGAAATTGAGACCTATGCGAAAATAATTTAATATATGATTGGAATTCATTCTAACTATATTTGGAAATAATATTTCGATAAAGTGTACGAAATAGTCATCTGATACTATGTAGATGCAAGCACACCCTCTATTATATTCATATTTAAATTTTGTATGATCGCAGGTTTTTGTAGGCATAAAATTAAAATTTCTTCAGCTAGTTATCAAAATTAAATGTATGAATTTCAGTTATTTTAATTGATGTATATATTTTTTGGAACTTTGCCTGGGTTTCTCTGTTGGAAATTTTTGTTATTGCATTGCAGTATTCATTTGTTTTGCTCATAGGGCCCTGGATGCAATCTCATTTATTTATATTAGATATTATGAGAATATGTTATTTTTCTTGTTCATTATTAAATTGTACAAATCATTGTTTTATTATAGAAAATTCTTTGATCATTGTTTTATTGTGGGATTGTTGGGTTAGCAACATATGTACAGTTTGTTCAAGTAGAATATCTCAAGAGGCATAAAGATTAGTTTTGATAAGAGTGCTTATTAAGATAACAACCCACAGAAATCCTGAAAGATCAAAGTTGCTATGGAACTGTGATTTACCATACATAGATCTAATAGGTTCTTATCAGTCGCCAAAGTAAATCGCAAGTGTTGTCATGTAAGCCTGGTTCACGTCGAACTTTTATCTAGATATACATCCACTTAACTAGTTAAAAGTTCGACGTGAACCACTCATTTATAGCTAGATAAAGTGACTTAACTTTACTAGAATAACAGTAAATTAACTTGCTTAACGGTAAAGTCGGCTCGTATTACAAGGACACGATTGCGTAACGTAGGCATCTAAGCCAGCATTGTTATTGTACCACCATTATCATCTTCTGGCTGGCAACAACGTACTCCAACAATGCTAACAACAGCATCGAAGTAGCCTCATTAGTCTGGTTTTCAGAAATTATTTGTAATATTTAAGTAAAAACCCAGCAAACGTCCATTTTACGAATAGTCGATATTACCAGTGACCTTTGCCCTTTGCATCGTCGACCAAGTAATAACGTTAAAAAGTCCGATTGCGTACGTTTTTCAAAGTGATAATGTGTATTTTTCTTAATAATAAAATCAGATTTGTTGTATTTATTTATTGACAATTCAATCTTTTCAATTTTTGCTATAATAGTCGCTATTAATTCAGTTTCAACAAACTACCACCAACGCCAGTTGTTAAAATGAGCGCACATGTTTACGATGACGAAATAAAAAAGTGCGTGGAAGTCAGCAACTTATTTGACACCGCGAAGCTAGATTTTTCGCAAAGTGCATGTAAACAACACAATTGAGCAATCTAAAAACTACAAAACAGGACAGAAAGGTCCATAAAGTATACAAACGTTTTAATGAAAATTAAAACAATATTTTGTTAAATGGAAGAATGCTAGCTAGTGATTAAAATAATTCGTTATTTATTATTTTATTATTTTCCACCGTGTGACGTCGATGGCCTGAAACTGGCTGGCTGTTTATCTGGCTCTTACTTGGCATCGAACGCAATTAGGGGATTATCGTATCATGTTTCAAGACGGGTATATCTAGACGTGAACCAGGCTGAACTGTATGTAGGACATTACACACAGAAACTGTTTGACATGGAATCGAAATGTAGTTTGCAACATAGTACCTTTGTTGTTAATCCATGACCAACCAGAGATAAGAGAACCGTTTATATCTCAATGTTCAGTAGAAAAACGTGCGAGCGCTTGACGGTGCAACACCATCTGCTGATTGTCCGTGGCACTGACAGACTTAGAGAATCGCCAATAGACCCAATTTTTTATGCACATCGCATTGTGCTCCCTATGAAATCAGGTCGGCTGATGACCTTCGGTGTAGTGTGTGGTCAACTTAAGTCTTCAAAATTCCTAGGATATGTGGTTCTCTGTACACATTTGTATGTGGCTGTTAAATGTACTGAACATGATACCAATGTGGAGCAATATAGTGCTATATATTAATTTTAGTAAAATACAGAGATTCCAAGTTCAACAAATGTGCAAGGGTGAGACTTTGGAAACTCCACCCCCTGGTTTTGTTTTTTCTCAGATGTCCAGATATGTATTCTTGGACATTTTTAGGGTATTTTGCAACTAAAAATCTGTTTAGAATCTGCATTTTTTTCTTCAGAATACATGCATTTCAGGTCTTCATGTGCGTGGCAGCTGGCGGTGTGTACATGTTTTTGATCTTATCCGACAGCACTTTATATAACATGTTCACAGTGTTAGTATAGCTAGTTGGTATACTTGAGATATTCTGTGTAGATGAAGAATGTTTAGTAAGAAGAGAGCTACATAGGTCACAGTTCAATATAGGCAATTAATACATTTATGTGTGAGATTTTTGTCCTTAAGCATGAAAGTGTGAGGTAGACACAAAATGCGTGAGATTTGGTAGGTGTGAAAATATATTAATGGTTACTAGGAGGAGTGTGTAAATCAAAGTTACAACACCTCATCGGTGATTGAGGTTTGGAGTTGATAATGCACCTGGTTGGAAAGGACTTTTGAGCTATCGTA